GTGGTGTAGACCTTTGTGCCGTCCGCGCTCGTGGTGTAGACAATCTGCTGCTGCTGGAGCGCGTTGCAGCGCGAGGAGATTATGTTTGCGATGAGGACCACGCCGGCGATGAGGGCGGCGAGGAGGATCACGTCGCCGGCGGTCATCCAGAAGGCGGTGTTGCGCGCGCGCGCTTGCGTTACCACGACGCAGAAGGCCCAGATGGAGGCTAGGAGGGCGACGATGAAGAGGCAGAGGACGCCGGCGGGGGCGGCGGCGCCATTGCTGCTGTAGACGTTGACGAGGGCGGCGAGGATGCCCCAGCAGGCGATCAGGGTGAGGATTTGAAAGACCCGGACGATGGTGAGGGCCGTTGAGGTTCCGGTGCTTTTGGCCATCGTGGGGGGAGTGGGTTGTGTTGGAGGAGTGGAAATGGTTTAGTGGCCAGAGCTAGGGCCAATGATTATGGGTCGGGAATGGCTGGGAAATGTGATAGCCAACAGCAGGCGGTGAACGGCGTGGAATTGACGGGATGGTGGCAATTGCACGGGTAGTTATAGACTAGATAGATGGGGTCTTTATGGCCTGATCTATTCTTCCCAATTCCACATTTTTTTTTGTAGGGTCTCTCTTTTTCCCCACAGACAGAGAGACAGGCGGAGAGAGCAAGAATCTGTCTTGCATTCTTCCCATAAACTCCCTACCCTTGTCCCACATCACCAATAAAGCATCAGCCTTATGACGCTGCTGTGAAGCAATAGGCAAGCACGCAGGCATCGGCATCGGTAACGACGGCTTTTCTCCTCGTTCTTGCAAGCAGGAACAGGCATGTGACGTCACCGGCAGCCCCGCGAATAAAAACAGAGTGCAATTGAAATCCCTGCCTGAGTGAGTGATGGCCGGTGACGGTGGGTTGTTTGACGATCCAGAGAGGAGGAGGTTAAATAAAGTACTACTACTCGTGCATCTCCCCGATCCGATCCCCGCCGCCTCGGTAGTAGGTATGTACTCTCCATACAAATTATCCTTGCCCTGCGAAAAACGAGTAGAGTGCCCTACGTAGAGCGAGGTATTTTCTGCCAAGGTGTCAGATTGACATCCGCTGTGCAGTACCAGCTAGGGAATGATACGATACAGTAGATGCCGGTGCCGTGTCTGGATGTTTGCACGGAGCCGTGGGCAGTGATTTGGTGGGGGTGCAAGTGCGTTCCTGAAGGTGCGGTCATACTTGCTTACCTAGTATGATCATATGAAATAATGAAAGGCAACTCGGCCTGCGATCTGAGTGCTCTGCAACGTTTTGCGGCACATTTAACACCGCTCTCCTCAACAACCATAACACCAAGGCGCTTGAAACTTGAAGGATAGAATACACATATGTATTTAGGATACTATTTATTATACTTTGAAGTCCTGTGAATTTGCAATTATTATTAAATGTGTTGCTTCAATGAGAAATTCCAGCTGTAAATGGTGGCTTGGGCACAAATGCTGAACCCACAATATCTCAACAACGATAGGCGTTTTCTTCAAGGACTAAATTTCAATCTTGAGTATATAGTCCTGGATACCCTTGATAAAATTGCAGAAATGCCCCGGCTAATGCTTGTGTACATGTAGCTATTCTCTCGGGGTGTCAAAATCACAATATTTACTACGTGTATTAATCACTATGTCACAAGAGCAGGAATATAGATCTGAGGTTGTAGGCAAGAATAGCTGTACTGTGAATCCTCACATATATATAGCGAGAGTCTGGGATGGATGGTTCCATCACGAGGGGGAGGGGAGTCTGCCCACGTACTACATGTATGTAGGTGCCTAACCTCACAGCATGCCCGGGGAACAGCCTTGTGATAAGGACATGTATGTATGTAGATGTCTACAGGGATGCCTGCGGGCCTCCACGGCGGTGCTCCTGATAAGAGAAAGACTACATACATGATACATACATGCACCTGCACAAGCCCTCTGCTCTGCCCGCAGCAGATGCCCGCCCCAAGCAGCCACGACATGCAAACAATCATTGACAGGACCGGACAGGCGAGGAGGGTTAGGGCTGGCTGGCTCTGTCCCACGGCCCTTGACGGTCTTGGCGTGCCTGTGACCTCGCCGTTGTTGAACCCGTGGCTGCAGACCGACTGACAGACAACAACCAACGTGAGCTCTGACAGCTCTCAATCAGCTCCACGGCATCAACCAAACTGAATCCCTCGGCCCATCATCACAGTCTCGAGGTATCAGACAGTCTCTGGAGAGCTTGCAGACTCCCGGATACCAACTTCGTTCCTGTCAAGCCCTTGCTCTGTTCGTTTCTCGTAATTTACTCACATACACTAGCTGTGTCTCGCCCGAGAAACGACTATCAAAATGACCTCCCCGGACGACCTCAGCCCCCCCAGCTATCTCCGCGGCTCCCCGCCCAGAAATTACTCCGACCCCTTCATCTCCTCCTCCTCGCCTCCTCCCCGCCGTAAATCTCGCTTTACTACTGCTACTACTACTACTACTACTGCCACTAATACTGCCTCGTCCACCTCTGCCCTTCACCTCTCCACCCACAAACCCCGCCGCGAACCGTTCTCCGCCAGCACCGAGATTTCTTCTCTTCCAGGAAGCATAATGCTCCCCCCACCGGCCGTGACAAACTATGCATACGCCCGCAGCTACTCGGCCCACTCCAACCAGCGCTCACCGCTGCACTCCCTCCGCCAGCAGGCCAAGCATCTCACCGAGCAGCTCCAGGTCCTCCTCGACGCACAGTCCGCCGCCCTCATGTCCGGCGGCACCTTCGCCCCCGCACCGCCAAAGCCCCCGCAGCGCAGTGGGCGGAAGGGTCAGGGTCAGGGACAGGGACAGGGACAGGGGCCACCGCCAATGTCACTCGGCGAGGCCCGCCACGGCATAACACGAAGCATGAAGGAGCTCGCCGAGATCAAGGACGTCGAATCGGACATCTACGCCTCGCAGGTCGCTGACCGGCAGAGCCTCATCAAGACAGTCAACACCTGGGGCACGAAAACGAAGCTTCTAGAAGCAGAGATCCACAGCATCGAGGACGGGGACGAGGGACGGCGCATGGAGGCGCTCCGGACAGAAAAGGGCGAGCTCGAGGCCGAGATCCAGCGGATTCGAGTTCACCTTGCCAAGATGGAGGATAAGCTCGCGGTAGTGTCCATCCAGCTGTCTGAGGGCGAGTCGGTCGTCGGCGCGAAAACATCGTCATACAAGGCGGCACTGACCGCCCTGAAGAACAAGACTTCGGGCCTCCTGGCGTCGCACCGATATGCGTCACCGGCGACGGCCGTCGAGTCATGGACACGGGAGTGCGAAGCGCTGGCCGAGAAGCGTTCGCAGGCGGGTGCGGAGGGCGACGCGCTGCGGGATGGCATCGTCCTCTGGGAAGACACACTGCAGCTCATAGCCGGGTTCGAGGGGTCACTGCGCGTACACATGGCCACCGCTGCGGCCGCCGGCGCCGGGAAGCGGGTCAACACGGCGGACGTCAAGGCACGGATCCTGCACGACATTGAGGAGACGATTGCGAAGCTTGAAGAGATACTAGCGCTCACAGAGGACAAGAACTGGAAGCTGCTGTGCTGCTGCGTGGGCGCGGAGCTGCAGGTGTTTCTCGAGGGGAGGGAGGTCATGAAGAAGAGCATGGAGAGCGACCGCGCCGCAAAGAGCACCATCTCAAGCACGGAGGCGTCCAAAGACTCTTCCGACGGCGGTGGCGGCGGCGGCAGCCAGCACGACGAGCGCAGCAATAGCAGCAGCGCGGCAATGACGCAGTCGCGCAGCTCCCTTCGCAGCGGCCTTGGCGGCTTCGTGCCGGGCGTCGGCGGCGTGCGCAAGCTCGGCTCGTTGCGGAAGAGCTTGAGCCCGGCGCCGCCGGGGGTGAGGCTTAGTCTGCTGGATCGCAGGAGCGACGATGGGCAGTCGCCGCACGAGAATGATGGCGATGATGAGCGGGATGGGAGTGTGGATTTGTTGCTGAAGGTGGATAGTGTACTGGGGGATGGGGTGCAAGATGGGAGGGATTATTCGCCGTTGGATGATTAAGAGTGGGAGTGGGGGCTGGGTTGGGTTGGGCTGGGGGGGGGGAATCGGACGGGAGGGGGAATGGGTGCTAATTGCTTTACGGTGTTTTTATATTGGGTCTTGCCTTTGATGCTTGTTTTTCCTGGTGGAGGGGCCGGGGTTGCTTGTTTTTGTTTTTGCTTTTGTTTTTTTGTTTTTTTGCTTTTTGTTTTATATCTCTTTTGGCTTCTTTCTATCTCTTTCTGGCGGCGCCTTCAACTAAAACTCCTACATTCATTCCCTCGAGACCTTGCTAGAGAGCTAGTACATGTACTTCTTCTTTTCTCCTTTTCTTCCCTCTTTTCCCTACTTTTTTTCTTCTTCATTGCACAGTTCCAATTGCAAAGCAGCCAGCCACGTCACGTCAGTCAGTCAGTCGGTCGGTGGCTTTATCGGATTATACCTCTTACATTATTGCTACATACATTACCATACCATACCATACCACACCACACCACCCTTAATATATATCGGAATACGACCAGATAGCTATCTCCTGGCGAAGCGGTTCTTTCTTTCTTTCTTTCTTCCTTTAGCCCTTTTTATTTTTATTTTTTTTATTTTTTTTGCGGAGTTCTGGTTTTTTCTTTTCTTTCGTGGGCTGCTTGCTTTGTGCAGGAAGGTGCGGGGCGGGGTGGATATTGTACGTTTTTTTTATTTTTGTGATTTGTGCAAACACAGGAGATTCTGTCTGTCTTTAGTATCCTATCCCTCCGGATCGATCCCCCAGCTGGGATTTTTTTTCCTCTGTGTCTGTGGTAAAGAAAAAAAAACCAAAAGGAGGCATTTCCCTCGCTGGATGCGCCTCTACTGGCGTTTAATTAGCCCTAACCATCATCGCCGCCGCCGCCGCCGCACGAGTGACACCCCATGCATACATGCACCCCCCCCCCCCCCCCCCCGAAAAGAGAAAATGAAAAAAGAGAAAAGAAAGCGAGTAACGACATCGACAGGATTTGAACCTATGCGGGCGAACCCAACAGATGATCACGAACTAGGGCCCCTAGTCTCTGTCAAGAGAGGAGGAGGGTGGATTCGAGTCTGTCGCCTTAACCACTCGGCCACGATGTCATGGGCTAGCTTGTGATCGTTGGGCTATTTCGTTTAGCTTATGCTGGTAGTTAGTGGACATGGCTGGCCGGGGTCTTGGAGGGGTTGAGCATGGTGGGGTTGTTGGTTGGTGGGGTGGACGACAGGGGCAGGGGTGCCTGCGACTACTATGTAGACATACAAGTACCAAGTGACCTTTGCTTCACTTCGCAATATCTGGATCATTCATTACATTACAGCTTCATTATTACCACAACCGCCACCACCACCACGCAGGTCCTTTCCCAGAACCCAGAGCACCGCCTATTAACAGACAGAAAGGAAGGAGGGCAACTCCCCCGGGGGATCATACAATAAGGGAACAATACTAGTTACAAAGAAGCCAAAGAAGGAGAAAAACGTGGTATCTCAAGCCCGACCCGCCCGCGCTCAACATTGCATATAGTACCTATAGTCCAACTACCGATTATACACCGCGCTCCCATCGCCCACAGTCCTCGCGCCCTCTCCCGCCGGAGGCGCATGCATATACACCTCCCCGCCGCGATGCCCTCTCCCCGAGTGCCCATGCCCATGCCCATGCCCATGATGTCTCCCATCACCACCATTCCACCCCGAACCTACACCCGCACTACTCGCAAAATCCCCCGGCGCGCCCCAGCTCCTATGCGAATACCTCTCGGCCACGCCCCATCCACCGTTCCTGGTCGCCGCACCGCCGCTCCACATCTCCATCTCGCGCACCCCATACCCGAACCCGCCCACCTCGCGATTCCGCGGCAGCGGGATATGGTTGCAGCGCCAATCCCACACGGACGCAAAGCACATGCGATACCCCAGGATGGCCATCACCACGCCAATCGCCGAGCCGACGGCGATGTCGTACCAGTTGTGGCTCATGTCCAGTGTCAGGCTACCAACGATGAGTGTTGCGGCGAGCATGGGCGCCACAAACAGCAGCAGCTTCAGGAACGAGGGGTGGTAGTTTGCAAAGATCTTGAGATGCGCATTGTAGTAGAGGCTGACATAAAAGAGCCCCGCCCACGCCGCGATGCTATGGCCGCTAGGAAAGCTCTGCATGGCGTTCGCAATGAGGTCCTTTCGGTTCTCAAAGTCGCGGCAGACGGTGACGTCAAAATACAGGCCGCCGTAGCCCTGTCCCTCGACGCCCTCGATCTGCGGGTCGCACACGGTGAGGAAGTGAGGGCGCAGGCCGCCAATGACGAGCTTGATGATGATCTGGAGCGTTGCGCCCGTCATGACGGAGTAGATTACACCCCAGCAGCCATTGTTGACGTTCCAGAAGGAGCCGCGGCCGAGGAGGAAGGTGCCGTTGCCGCGGGTCTTGAGGCGGCGGCCGCTGGGGCCGTGGGTGCCGATGCCGAAGAAGTTGATGAGCCAGATGGAGATGAAGGGGACGAAGATGGCGACCATTGCGTCGGGGACGATGGGGATGATTTGGGACTGCTTGGGGTGCGCGAAGGAGGGGTAGATCACGGTGGAGCTTCTGTGGGGGGACTGTCAGTACATTGAATATGGGGGGGTAGCTGGGGAGAGGGAAATACTCACGGCGTGAACCCAGACTCGGGATTATATGACACCGCAAACAGCTTCCGGTAAGGGACCGGACTCCACATCAATAACCACAGAGCAATCGCGCCCAAGATTATAAATCTGCATATTCTGAAATTAGCAATTACTCACAAAAAGAAAAGAAAAGAAAAACAAGATACAAACACAAACAGGGTGGGTGGGGGAAGGGGGGATATCTATACTTACGCAAGCAGATCATGCCAATACCACTTGAACCACTGCAACACCGTCGGCGCCGGCCCATATGGGTCCACCCACCCCTCATACTCCTCCTCGCCCTCCTCCTCGGCGGCCTCCAGGTCCCTTCGTGACCGCTTCTCACGCACCACCGTCGTGTTACTGGTCGTCTGGTCCAAGCCGCTGGGGTCGTTTGTGCTCGCGCGGGGCGTGGCGCCGGAGAACGTTGTTGGGTTATCCGTGGCAGTCGAGTCGTGGCTGGGCCGGAGGCGGCCAAGGATGTTTGACATCTTCTTTCTTCTGTGCGGTTTATGGGTGGAGATGTGTATGCGGACAGATGGCGATCAGGAATCTAGAGTACCTGCTCAATCTATGCTCTGTGGGCAAGCTGGATTTATACTCAAACTGGCCACAGCTACAAATCAAGAAAACCCCTGCTTCCCCCCCCATACCTACTCTAGGCCTGTAGCTGTAGAGGAGGTAAAGCCCCGTCCGTCACTCGCGCACAGAAACCTGGCATCTTGAAGAATATCGGTAGGTACAATACGTAGGGAGGTATAGGCTGTGCGTTGCTGTGTTCTGCTGCTCGCTCTTGCCTACTACGTCACGGCGATACGTCAGCCAAGCCTTCCACACCACTCACAGGGCCCGGCGGGAGGAAACTCACGAGCAAGGGAGGGGCCAGACATAAAGCACCTTACATAACAAGCCTAGCTGCGAACCAGTCTAAATTTAAGGTTTGGCGCGGTGCCGGCCACAGTGCCCCACAGTGCCCCACAGTGCCCCAATGCCCCACACGTGCCCCCTCCACCCTGGCCTAGAGGAACTGGACCACATCTACCATCAGATACATACATGTATGGCTTGTGGGGCACCATGTAGGTACTCTACTCTATAGTACATGTATATCTAGAGACTGGCCTGCTCACCACGTTGCCCCGACTCACTGGAGCCTAGTCTCGAGCCAATTGCGGACCTACTCAAGGCTCGATTTCACAGCTGGAGACAAGGCACCACTGCTCAAGTAGGTACGTATGAAATAGCGGATTATCCCTCAACGCCCCAGGCTCTAGCTAGCTCCTAATTGTAAGAGAAAGAAAGAGCAAGAAAAAGAAAAAAAGGATTACTGGGCCCATCACACCCTAATCTATAGCTGCCTTTGTTCTGCTATGCAAATCCAATTGCCCCAATCGTATCGGAATTTCTCACGGCATGATGAGAAATAGAGAAAGAAAAAGTGATGATAATATGATAAAAGAAATAATAACAGCGCCCTGAAACCCCCCCCCCCCCTCCCTTCCCCGCGACCCAAATTTCAATAGACCTGTATCAAGTAGCAAAGTCCGCTGTAACCTCGCCATACCTACAATGAAACCCGCAAGAGAAGAGAAGAACAATCAGCAAACGTCCCAACAAGTAAAATATAAAAAAAAGCCACTACAACTCAATGCCAGCTGAGCTCGAGGGAATCATCTTCATACCGGACACCGTCGACGCTCAGCTCAAACAGCAATGACGCGCTCAACACCGTCATTTCCATCGTAAAGTGCAAGCCTTCGTATTCCACGTCTTTGGAGTTCCTGCCCTTGGTGTACATGCTCTTGGGCACGTTTGTTAGGTCTGAGCGGAGCTTACACACAGTTTTGACCGCTAGGAGGGGTTAGTTAAAGTTACATAGTTTCATATAGGAGGAAAGGGACTGCATACTGCTATCGATGCATTTCGGTGGGAACGTTTCCTGGCAGCAGACTAGCTCGTCCAATAAAACCCTACTATGGTGGTCCTCAAAGGTGATGTAGAATGGGAACGCAATGCTCTCATCCTCGGACATTTCCGTCCCCTTTAACTGCCTGTCAGCACTCACAGATATAAATAAGGGCTAGGGTTATAGCTAGAACCTTTGCGATATACCACTTAATCTGGTTCTCAGCAAGCCATTTCTCCCTTGTCGTGTCCCAGTACTTGTGCTCCTCAGAGTGAATATTCTCATCAAAGTACTCCCAGTATTTGACGCCGTAATGGTATCGCGACTTGCGTGTCTGCACAATAGTTTCCATTCCACGAATTACAGCGCCCCGAACGACGGCAGTCCAGGAATCTACAGGTTGGAGCACGACGTCTGGGTTATCGGGAGTGGAAAGAACATCGGTGTATTTGTTCTGAAGACGCATAAAGAGGTATTCCGAGGAACCAAATCCGCCAACGAGGAGAATACTCTTTGGAGGCCGTAATTAGCACTTAGCCAATCCTACAGGATAGCTTACCGCTTTTCAGTAGCGGGCACATGGCAGGTAGTCTAATCCAAAGGTCGAAATATCCGGTATCAACCCCGCAGATATCTAAAGCAGTTGACACCGGATACCTCGACCTTTAGAGCTGCTACGTGCCCGCTACCGACCAGCTGTGGGGATTAGAAAGGGCCATGGATTACCTTTACTCGCTTCCCCTTTGACTGCACCGCTGTAATCTGCCCGTCTACAAGTCGCACAACCTCTTCAATCACGGGCTCAAATATACCCTGTACCTCTTCCCTTGTAACGGTCATGAAGCCGCAGTCAATCCCTCGCGCTTCGTCGTCGGGAAGCCCGGGGAATTGTATCGGGAATACGTCCTGGTCCTCGCCGTCTACAAAGACCCGCTTCACGTACTCCTCCCACGACTTGAGAGCGGCAATCTTGGTCTTCTCCTTCATGGCTAAATAAGCGACGGGGCCTAATCGCTCCTTCACGAAGCTCTCGAACCGGCGGTTCAGGAATGCAGATCCGCATAGTTCACCTTTACAATATTAACCTCCCACCACAAATGGGGGTTCAAAGTAAGTGACCATACCTGTGCCTGTAACACTCTCCTTCACTTGCAATGGCTCCGTCTGTAAAATCTCATACGAGATTAGATCCACCGTACCGCCACCCGCATCACAAACGACAAAGCAAGAATCATCGTTCGCCGACAAATTCTTTGGCCGTATTGTTTTCAAGGTATATAACGCCGCAGCCTCGGGCTCGGAGATTAGCCTAATCTTACAAGACTTTGCCATACCCGTGCCCTCCGCCGCCTGCAGCGTCGCGTTCTTCGATCGGTCGCTCCATACGGCCGGACACGTGAGGATAAACTCGATCTTGGTATTCTCCACAAATGTCTGTCCGAGGGACCGGGTCAGCATGGTGATGGTGTGGTCGTAGAGCATCTGTAGATAGTCCCTGACTACATCCTGAACAGTCTTCTCGTGTTGCTGTAGCTGCGCGTAAATG